CGACCGATAGTCCTTCTCCATGGCCTCACCGAACTCTTCCCAGACCCGAGTTTTTGCCTCCGCAACCGCCTGGGCTGCAGCCCGCTTGGCCTGCCGGTACCCGTCAGCTGTCTCAGGAGTCCCACGAGCCAACCAGGCTCGAAAGGACTCCTTCTTCAGCTTGACAGCAGCCCTTACTTCCGGTGTCCACCACCGGGTTCGGGGATTGCCACCACAACAGGCACCAGAGACCTTACGGCCACAGCTCCGAACGGCCGCATCGGCAATGAAGGTGGAGAATATGGTCCACTAGGACTCAATATCTCCAGCCTCCCCCGAGATCTGGTCAAACATGTTTTGACAAGTTAATTGTGTCGTTTTGCATGAAGTGATAGACATGTTGATACGGACAGCTCTTCCTACCACTAGGCCTTTAAACCTCGACAACTGATTTCTGACCACTGGAGGGCACTGCATTAAGTTGGAAACACTGACATCCAGATGTGTGACAGATGAAGGGAGACTTGAATTTCCAATTGTTTCTGATATTTCAGATGACTGAATTTAATGATTTAGATTGTTTTATTATTCTAATGTTTATTCTTCTCAGTTACAGACTGTGTTTGTGCTAACTTGCTAGACATTATGTACTTTTTATCATGATTGTATTAATTATATTACAGTAGAAAGTAGGCATTACTACAGTATGTATGGTTTGTCTACTGATGACGTTCTAGTAATCCTGAATTAGTATTTACTCTACATTAAGCTTTACAATGTGATAATAGTGTTTTGTTTTAGTAATCCTAGCTGATAGTTCACAATATGTTAAAGCTTACTTAAGGACCTACAGATAAGATATAGGAGGTTTCACGTTCGGAAATGTTTCACTCTGACATGCAGTTGTTGTGACAGTGAATGCCCTTTGTCTGAAATCCAGATGCATCATGCAGACAATGGTGCAAGTCTTCTTTCTGTCATGTTTCATCTCCTCCCTGACGAGTTATGGTTCAGCTTATCTTACGAAAACACGACTTGCTATTATGTCCCACGAGTTCTCATGTCTAGGAGCTAAAAACACACACAGGATGCCGAGATGCACCCCCGTCAGAAAACTCTTATCCAGTGGCGCTTTATTATTGTGTTGTTGTCGCCTTGTATGAAATGAACTACATATACAATGTAGGGTGAGTTGTGCTATAAACCAATCAGATGGTGTTGCCAGCTAGACAGACATCTTTGTCACTGCCACCGTCACTGTCGTGCTATCGTCTCTCACGTCAGATTCTCGGGGCCTTATGGTCTAGGGTTGTTAACTCCTGGCCTGAGTGATTATATCAGGGAGTTAAAACAGAGACTCAGTGAAAAGCGGGGCAGCTCCCTGTGTAATTCCACTCACGTTTCTCAACAAACCAGAACACGTTGGTTGCTTCTAAATAGCTGCTGGTTAACTTCCTACCAGTGAACTGACTCATGGCTGCAGCTCTAGGTCACTGAATGGCTTCATGAGGACGACACAGCGGGTTTGACACAGTGAGGGGATCTGGTTTGGAAGGAGGACGTTTCCTTCCTCCAGCAGAGGAGACCTGGTGCTGCCCTGGAGACACAGTTCCAACAAGCCTCTGTTGGTCACTGTGGGATAGTTTGGCCTTTCATTTCTCACCCAGCTCTATTATCACCATATTAAGTTGTTATGGAGGTGGAGAACCAGATTTTTACAAATTAAAGGTTGTGGTCAAGGTTTCTCAGCCGGTCCTGTGATACAACCCAGCAGCACTCTGCACTTCACTGCAACCAGCCACTGATCCAGGTAAAGGTCTTACTTGGGGCAGAGTTTGAAGCATGTGCCAGGGAATCGGTAGCTCCATGTCAGGGCCTCGTCCTCTCCCTCACAGCTGAAAACTCGGTCCTTGTGCTTCTCAGAGGAGATGTGCTGCTGCCACTGTCGCTCGCTGTTACTGTGCTTACCGCACAAACGGCAGTGGAAGCCATTCTGAAATACAGAAAAGCATGACCATCATCATCTCTTCTCGCAGAAGCACAATGAGGAAACAAAGTTTGAGTTGGGTGCCAGTGCAGCCGTTTATGGTCTGAACTGAAAAACAAAAGTCAACCCACCAATGGTTCAGCATAATCAGTCGGCATGATAATGTATTTTTCTTCTGGCGCAGGCTTCGTGAGCATGGCTCCGTCCGTTTGGCGGTTGTGATCATTTGACGTCAGCCACCGGTCGTATATCTGCTGCATGTCCCGCACTACAGGCACAAAGAACGTTCAGTGAGTCAGCACTAACAGGATCAGATCCACCAGCAGCCGTATTGTATTCTCCCCTTCTTTAAGCACTACGCTGCTTTTCATGTGGTTATGTAGTCTCACACTGGGTCAACAGCTCTTTTATCTGCAATATTATTCTTCCAAAGATTTCCTATGTACATGTACGAGTGCACCTGTGACCTGATTCCAATCAGCCTGTCGATGTCTATATTCAAATGCCCTGTCGGATGCCTCCTGATCAATGATGAGAGGAATGTTAACTGCATTTGTGGAGTTAAACTGCACGTTGTCTCTAGTGCAGGTTTCACAGTACAATGTCCACATGAATGGAAACCACCAAACACAATGAGACCAGACAGGCAAAATACACCTTTAGCTCTTACAGAAGGTAGATTCTCCAAATTGCTTTTTTGTTTCATGGAAGCTGCGCTGCAGATCCGTTTTAATTACTCACAGTCATTATTCTTCATATACATCCACATCTCCTTCTCCTCTTGGCTGTGGGCAAAGGTGCAGTTTCCAGCATAGGTGCATTTCCTTTTCCTCACAATCTGAGTACATATCTGCAAGAAACAGATGACAACGTGCAGTAGAGACAAACCTTCAGGAGACACCATAATCAACAACAGCAGAAAAACAGACATAAAAGGCAAATAGATTTGGGAAGACCGTTGTTCATCAGTGTGCAGTTGCTGCATAAGAGCGGAGGAAGGACACCTACATCATACTGCAGAGGGAAGTTTTTGGCATGTGGCAGCGGTCGGACCTGAACCCATTTGCTTCTCTCCAAGGACATGACCAGCAGGACCCGTCTGTCTTTAGTCCACCTGAGAATGATGACACAAGAAACACTGTAGGTCAACATGTTGTATTTCTGTTTCTGAATGCCTCAGTGATACGTGAGAAATGTTGTGTTGTGCTGAGGGAACGTTCCTACACACTCAGCATTGACTTTTTCCATAATTTCAATGCAGCAAGATATAAAAATGGAGTCTCTCGCTTGGTCTTCTGATGAGGGGTTAAAGTCATGCCTAGCACCAAGTGCTCTGTGTTGAAAACTAGTAACACCACATGACACCATGGGACACAGTGATGCTGACAGATAGCGTATATAATTCCAGAAACAACCGCCGATAACATTTTCCATTATAGGAACAATGAAAACTTTCCTACTCACATGTGTCTGGCCTTGGCTGTGCAGTACTTGAGGGCTTTGTCTGGTTCACTTATCAAACCACCCTGCCAGCACTGAGCACAGGCAAATTTCATCTTCATATTCAGAGTCTTCCCGGCTCCTCCTCCTCTCGGCTTGTTCCCACCGTTTCCAGAAGAAATCTGCTTAATAATAAATAACAAAGTGACAATGACTTAACTTTCTTCTTCTTCTTTCACTCTCCACCCAGTGCAGTGGCAAATTCAACATGTTATGATTTATGACAGTTCCTAGACCAAAAGTTTAGCAAATTTAAATGAATGTGGGAAAAGAAATTCAGTCAGTAAACACAGTAACGAGACAGTGAGGTGGTGTCACTACAGGACGAGCTCTAACAAGACAGTCTAAAAAGAAAACAACTATAAAATGACCAAAACAGGTTCTCACTCGATATCCTTTGTGTTTGCTCGAGTCTTGCTCCTGTTTTTCATAGCACTTTGTGGATACTTTCACAATCTCATCATGGCTGATACCTGGAAATAACAAACGCGCACACACACAGAAACAAGGTTTCTACAAGCTGCTGTTATTTCCTGGTCGTTACACAGAATACTGAATTCTACCTGCCTATAACAGTTATTAGCATTTTAATGCGTCTACTTCCACTGTGTGTGTCTGACAGACCTGTGTCTCGCTGCACCTTCCAGGTTTTCAGCTCTATGACAGAGTGGGCGAACACACAGTTGTCCTTTCTCTGGCAGCCGTAGCGGATGCTTTGGCGGCATAACTCCAAGTGGCACATGACGCTCAGTGGACGGACCTTTTCGTACTTCACTATGTGGGTCCTCACCACAAAAGCCAAGCACCTGATGCGCACAGGGGAGAAATCAGAATCTTTAAGATTATGAGAAAGACATGGGAGCTAGAGGTTAAGAGGAGGAGGACTCAAAGTAAACACGTGTATCATAACAATGCTTACTTATTAGCGTCAAAGGTGTGGTGGACATCCAGGTTAGAGCAGATGGTGTGATTTACTGTGCTGCGCTTACTGATGATTGTAGGTTTACTGTCATAGCATTCCTGGAGAGGTAGGAAAGGAAAACAGAAGAAGGAGGAGAAGGACAGCAGGACAGGTAGGAACAAAGAAGGGCAGACACACAAAGAGACAGACATACTGAATAAGAGGAAGACCGTCTCAACACATGAATCAGTCTATTAAGAGACAGAAAAACACAGTGTAAATGTTCAACATTTACACAGAAAAACACAGTGTAAATGTTCAACAGACAGTAGAATAACAATAGATACACAAGTGAAACAGCCCACGACTCATGGATAGAACAAACACTGGCTGAGCTCCCAGCGTTTTTTAATCTACTCTGAGTTAATGTAAAGCTGACGGAAGAAGCTTCACGTCCTGTTACTTGATGGAAAACAGCAGCAGTTCGGCCTTGAAATGACAGACAGATAAACTTCATGTGTAATGTCTTTAAAATTCTGTTGATCATGTCTGTGGAGTACAAAAATGGCGTATTTATTCATGTGGGTGGCTGTGGCTCATGAGGTAGGGCAGTCGTCTCCTGACCAGCAAGTTGGTGGTTCGACTCCCGGTCTCCCCACATGCCTAAGTGTCCCTGAGCAAGACACTGAACCCCGAATTGCTCCTGGTGGCTTGACTAGCGCCGGTGCATGGCAGCTTGTCGTCATCAGTGTGTGAATGTTGTGTGTGAATGGGTGAATGGTGTATCATCTCTGTAAAGCGCTTTGGCCAGTGCAACACACTGTGAGAAAGCGCTATATAAAATACAGTCCATTTACCATAAATAAATACAAAAGATGTTATAAATAAGCATAAAATTGAATTAGTAAATCAAACTAGTACATAAATAATTAAAAACAATTACATGTACAAATATATAGATGGACAAATTAGCAATATTAATATTATTGCTTCTACATTTCAACATAACTACAAGTTTTTATTTTTGTGTCTGCATTTTAATTAGGTCTGTGGTGCTCAAGGAACTACTAAAATATAACTGATCACAAGACTTACAACGACATATCGGTAAATAGAAATGTATATATATATCATGTAAATGGGCTAAATCTACAGAAATGTATTCATAATTTACATTCATTTATCATCATCTAATATATATTTGAGCTTTACTTCTATATTTATGCAAACGTTTATTTATTGATAAGTCTTTTTTTCCTGCCAGAAATAAATAATTTAAATGAAATAGGAGGAGAGGCGACATATAGTAAATGTACACTTCTGTTCTCATCCAGAAACTCCAGGCATATTAGTGCTAACATTAGTACTGCTTTTAAATCCCTTTTTATTCTTTTCTTTATTTATTGTTCACTTAGTCTTTTTTTATGTTGGACCATAATCTATAGGCCTTTGATATTTTCTCTTATACTGGATGTAAACATCTTTCTTCTGTACTGTTGGAAGTTGTTTAAAAATATTAATAAGGATGCAACAGGAAAAACTTGTGTTCTTCATGATTTAAGGGAGGCCTGAATGCATAATAACAATTTCCAACAACATTACAGAATTTCTAAGAATAATACACATATAGAACATAGTAAACATGTTTTTAAAATCACATATTATAGCAAGGATCAGTACAATGTAGCTGGATATGAGCAAATCTGAAAGCAGGTTTGTAAAATGATAACTGTGTATAAACTGTCCACTAACCTGGCAGAGGAACATGAACGCGCCCTTGTGTTCCTGTAGAAGGCGTATGATGCTGTTGACGGGGTCCAGTCGGACACCCGTGCTCTCAAACAGCAGGTTTCGGTCCAGCGTCCCCTTCCTCTCTTCTGTCCACACATCGATCTCCAGCTGGTTGTAGGCAAACGTACATTTCTCTCCATACTTACATATGCCCAAATCGCCCGAGTTCAGCAGCTCTGCACATACAAGAAACCAGTGGTGGAAAGTAACTAAGTACCTTTACTCAATTACTGTATTTAAGTACAATCTTGAGGTATTAAAACTAGCCCCCACTCCCTTTACCAGCTGCAACATTAAAATGTGATGTACAGGAATGTGAAATGTGCCGTTCTGCATGAGTACTTTTACTTTTAGTTAGTATGCTTTGATGCTAATACGTTGTACTTAAGTAACATTTTGAATGCAGGACTTTTACTTGTAACAGTATTTTTACACTGCTGTGTTGCTACTTTTACTTAAGCAAAGGATCTGAGTACTTCTTCCACCGCTGTACGAAACTACACAGGTGACTCACATAAACACGGTCACATTAGCTTTTATCAGACGTTTCCTCTTTAACTGCAGTTGGTTCATGTCTGACATGCCTGTCCAGCTCCCTCTACTGTTTCAGACCTTAGTTAATGCCCCTTCAAACCAAAGTATAAAAAGAAGGGTCATACTGACACCAGAAGTGAAACTCAGATGCTGTATTTGCAGAGGGAGGTTCTCCCAGCTTCAGCCTGTCAACCAGTGATTGACAGAGCAGTCAGGCCATGAAACACAATGAGGAATGTGTGACCTCAGACTCAGTCGTGATGTGAACTCCTCTATTTACATTCCAAAGGTCTGCTAAAGGAATTTACATGTCAAACACCATAAAACATCCACACACATTTCCGCCACAACACAACACAGCAGTGTGCTAAAATGCTGTGACTTCACTCGTTCATTAAACACTTTCCAATTAATGACATGGTCTATAATCACATAAGCCGCTAATGTTCTAATGTTCATCGTGCCCATTGAGCTGCAGTTATTACTTATACTGGTGTCATGACACGTGCACTCTGCAAATCGGTTTACCTACAAAAACAAGCCATGAACAATGAATCCCAACAAACAGAGCAGATCCAGATATTGATCACCTATCTGATTTGGACGTCCTTACCCTTGCAGAGTACAAACGGCCCTCTGAAGGACGTCCGAGGCATCGGGCGCACTCTCGTCCACTCTGAAGGACAACCTGTCTTTCGTCTACATAACAGAATGTCTTGCTTACAGCTGTGGGCCAGGTCTGGCTTGTGAACGTAAGTATATATCCCCAGACCTGAAAACCAAACGTTACACAAACAGAAAAAAATATTAAGAAAATATTCAACGGAAAATGAGGAGTTGGTGTTTTGTTCACATATACATCTGTGCAGACTGTGTTATTTCTTGTGACTTATTCTGAATTGATTTTTGTCAGCCTGGACCTTTTTGCCCTTCTCTCAACCTTAGAAGAAGCACTTCAGGATGCACATGAATCCACAAGTTCCAATGAAGGACTATTACAAGGCATTAACCTGCCTGACAGTAAAACTGTCAATGCTTTCTTGCAGCTAGTTTGAGGCAGGACTGGATAACAATGTACCTTCCCGAGGGAAACAGGCAGAGCAGGCCTGCAGGAACTCGTGGGTGGACGACAGAGGGTTAGAGATCACAGCCGCCGCTTGGTCCTTTAAGGCCACAGTAGGAGTAAGATGTCAGTTAATGGTAACCAAACACAAAAAAAGAGCTGGTAACACAATCCAGGTCATCTTACTTTGTAGTTATTCTTTGGAGATCGTATTACAGGACCTGCAGCTCTAAGCGGGCCTGGGATATCTGGGGAGCAAACAGAGAAACAAATGACAGAGTATGTACCATACATGAGTAATGTGTACACGCTGCAGCAAATGGCCTAAAACATGCCAAATATTCAGAAGGCTGGTGTAGCTAATCTAAACATCTACAGCTCTATGGCAGCTAAAAAAGGACAGGCCTCCTGCTTTGTCAATAATATAGTAAGGCACCAGTAAATGATAATCACCAGCTGAGCTGAAATCGGAGAGCAAGTCCAGGCCTGTTCCCCCAACGGAGACTCCTGCTAAAGGTTCGCCAACACTTTGCACTGAGGGAAATGAGTCCAGGGCATCAAGAGAGCCAAGCTGGTCCACACCTTTCACACCACTTTTAAGGACATCAGCAATGCAATCCCCTAGATCTGAGACATTCTCCAGGGGATCTAGCTCATCTAGCAACTCATCAAGGGACTTTTCCTCTGTGTCCAGTTCTGTCAGGCTTTCATCAACTCTCTCAGTCACAGCAGCACTTGGTATTGTGTCCAAGAAGTTATCCAGGGAGTCAAGGCCATCCAAGGCATCCAGTTCTGAGTCTGGAACACCAGCACTGCCTCCAGTCCCTGGGAAGAAATCATCTAAGCCATCAAGACCTTGCAAGGTCACGAGGTTGTCCAGGGTGTCTAGTGTTGCAGCTGTGGTGCTGGGCCCACCACCTGAAAAGGAGTCCAGGGAGTTCAGCTGGCTGACGGCTGAGCTGAAGAAGGCTGGGGGGAGCTGGGGTGTTGGGGCAGGCAGGACAGAAGGCCCCGTGTGTGTGCAAATGGACGTCCTGCTGGGGACTGAGAATGCTGTCTGGGCGTAGGAAAAACATGGAAGGAAACTCAAGTGAATACGGTTGGAAAACGACAAAACGTAACAAAGTACCACAACGCCTCGATTTAATGAATAGATGCAAAGGTTTTGGTGGACATTGGCCGACAACAGCTAGGAAACTCACTGGATTATTACTATTCACTAAAACAATTAAGTGAAACAAGATGCAACAGCTACATTACTTAAAGCTGCACTAATCATCAAATCAGTAAGTGTAATGTGAAAGGTGGCGCTCACAGTGACCCCACAGAGGTTCATCGCTCCAGATTCTCTTTGTGGTTCTAGCTTTTATAACTGTTTTGTGGATGAAAACTCTCATCTGCATTTCTAGTATGAAACTGTTTCATGGGGGAACGTGCTGATAAACCCACAGTATACTACTGTACCTCCCCAGCACCAAACACCAGATTTATATCTGGTGCTTGGTGCTGAGGCAACCATCTGGTCAAGAGCCAGATGTTTCCCTCGGGAGCTGGTGGAGGTTGACACACAACTAAACCCAGAGTTATTATTGGACTAACTTCTTTCATTTAGGAACAGGTTTGAAAAGGATCTAATGATGTTCCTGGTGATGAATTAGGTCTCTACAGCAAGATTCAAATTTAACAATTTGCACCGAAATGAACAAAGTGGTTTGCAATCTGTTGCACCAATCATCCTTGGATTTTTTTTTGCATGTTTTGTTTTTTGTGCAGCTCCAAGCATTTATTTTGACATGCCTTCCCAGACCTTCCAGTTTAGTAATACTCTACAACCAAGGACACATTCAATCTTTATCACTGACAGAAGTTAGACCCTGGTTTTCAAGGACAACTGCAGCACAAACACAGATTTGACCTCAGGAGGCTCCTGTTTAGCAGGGAAGCAGTCGAGCAGGCTGTCCAGGTCGTCCCCCATCAGCTCAGTGTCCTCCAAAGTGTCCACCCCATCAGGCAGTGAGGAGACAGCAGGTTGGTGATCGCTGGGAATGCTGTCCCGAGGCATGCTGGGAAAACTGACTGAAGAGAAGCAGGAGGAAAAATATTTATATCTGATTTGTTACTGATTTTGTGCAAACTATTCAAGCTAATGTGGAGACAGTGGCCTCAGAAAGCATTCAGACCACTTCACTTTTTGCACAGATGATTTGTAGATTTAATGCCAGATAGATAAAACCATTTCTGTCCATCAGTCTGCACTCAACAGTGCATAATGACAAAGCGAGCAGTCGCCCCAGTCTCAGGTTTCTGCACTCTGGAGCAGGTTTTTCTTCCAGGACCTCTCTGTGTCTGGCTGCATTCGTCTTTCCCTCTGTTCTACCAGTCTCCTTGTCCCTGCTGCTGAGAAGCCCCCCCCACAGCAGGATGCTGCCCCCACCATGCCTCACAGTAGGGATGTTGTTAGCAGGTGATGAGCAGAGCCTGGTGCCTTTTCCAGCATCTTCTCCATTAACGCAGAGGACCTCTGAACCTCTGTCCAAGGGACTGTTGAGTTCTCAGTCCCCTCCCTGACCGACGCCCTTCTTTCTGGTCTGATGCTGACTCCAGGACGAGTCCTGCTGGCTCCAGACTTCTTCCATGTCCCAGTTACAGGGGCCACTCAGAGTTTTAGACATGGTTTCATCCCCTGGTCCTGATCTGTGCCTCACCACAGTGGTCTACTTGGACTTCACGTCTTGGTTTGTGTCCTGAACTGCAGTGTGAACCGGGGGGACCACACAGGTGTGTGTTATGGGTTAAGGAGTAGACTGATGAGCAATAATGGCAACTTTATCCATCTACACCACAGCAAAGTGTGCACAAAGTGAACACGTTCTGAAGCCACTGTACAATTCTGATCCAAGTCTATTCACACCTGCTGAAAAGCCACTCAAAGTATTCATCTCATTTCCTAAATGAGCTTCAGACACCTGAAGGTGAAAAGGAAAGAGCATTTAGAACATTATCAAGCACAAATAAATGTCTGAATGATACTAAATCACTGTCAGCTGAGAGGTTTTCTTAATTAGGAACTAAAATGTTTATTATTAGAATATACCGTGATTTGTAGGAAGTGTATTTTGCAGTGTACGGTGAATGAAGGTAATGTGGAACTTGCCTTTATGACTTCAGCAGTCATGTTTCCATTTGCAACACTTCTTGTGTTGTGTGCTTCTCTCTGGGAAACACAAGACAACACACTGGATGACACAGCAAACTGAGGCCCAAACAAAAACTAACCTCCACCACGTCTGCATCACAGTTAGGTGAAGTGACTGTATACAGTAAGAGACGATACAAACATGTCAGAGATTTTTCTTAACCCTGTAACAGACATGATTTTTAAGAGGTATTCAATTCACTGGACAAGCCAAAATTACGAGTACATTAAGTCATAATGTATATGCTGATATCACAACATACAGTAAAACTGCAGTGTGATGTGGGCAGCTTTCCATGTCCCACCCTTGGACTGCATACTATCTGACCAAACCTAAATGCTTTCACTTGGATTTATCAGTGAACAAATTCTGTCCAATCATCATTTTACTAACCTTTGCACTGACATAGGGTTTTCGATTTTTCAGCCCCAGATGGACAGCCAGCTCCTGTGCGAGTTCATTCACCTGTTTATCCTGTGAAAACAAACTAATGAATCCAGTGCATTAACATTGAGTCAGTGAGATGTAAGGCAAGTGATGCATGAAAATAACATTTAAATTCAAGCTCTTCTGACAACATTCTTAGAGCCAATTGATTCTGAGCTTCCTTTACCAGACGAGTGAAGAGCAGACAGTCCGTGGTGCAGTTGTAGGCCTCCCTGTACTTCCCAAGCTCCTTCAGGCAAAGCGCCTTCCTGTACAGAGCCTTGTGGCTTTCCTTACACACCTCCAAAGCACAGTCGCAGTCCTCCACACCTCGATCGTATTCCCCCTGCGGTGATCATGGGAGATGGCAGGACATGGTGACAGGAGTGTAATGGGCACAAGTAAAGGCACACAAATGCACAACTATACAGTTAAATCAGTGTATACAGAGATATTTGAATTCTTTCATTTTAATGTAGGGTCTCCTGTAGGAACACAATCACACTCGTTATCCTCATTTATTTTTATTATTTGATTTATAAATACTAGAAGTCTCCACTGTGTTTTAAACGAACAGACATATAAACTGTATTTCCTCTTTTTGCATCTGATATCAACTCTCACTCACAATAAATCAAACTGCTGCAGGTCAAAGTCCTGACTTGCTCAGTAATTATTATGGATTGATTCTGGTTTATCTAGCTGGCAGCTCACTGACTCACACTCAGGTCTGGGTGTGTAGAAGCTCGTCACAAACCCGATTAGCCTTAGATACAATGTTTCCCAAACAGCTGTCTACAAGTGAGTCATTCTGCTGCAAACGTGCACGATGCTGTGCCGTCCAGAAACGCACAACACCACATACTGCATCTCACCATATTGTGGTAGGCAGCAGCCCGGTTGACATACAGGCTTTCCCATAAAGCCTTGGTGATCTGGATCTCCTCTGCTGCAGCGTAGCGCGAGACGTTCAGGCCTTCACTGAACTCTTTCACAGCCTGCTCCCACTCCTTCTCTCTGAACAAGGCATTGCCCTCCTCAAGCAGGTTGAACACTAACTGGGTCAGGAAGTCCTGAGAGGAGGAAGGTCATAAGATAAGGGTCTACAGCCACACTGGTGGTTCTGTAGGGCTGTAGTGGAGTTAAACGCTACAGTCAGCATGCTAACGTGCCCACATATTGTTTACTGTGAGTTTAACATGTTAGCATGCTCATATTTGCTGATTATCACTGAACACAAAGTACAGCTGAAGTATTTTGTCACAGGTCAAATTTTCTGGCGCTGAGGGGAAAGTTACAGGGTCACAACAGGTGTTACAGTTTATCCATAAATGTGAGAGTGAGACCAGTGTTGGGCAAGTTGCTTTACAACTGTAATCAATTATTCATTACACATTACTCATTGCTAAATTATTTATTATTATTATTATACTGGTTTAAAAAAAAGTGTTACTTTACTTTTATTACTCAGCTGTCAGCTCAGTTAAATGTGCCCTTTAAAAAAACACCAAAATATAAATAAAATATTAGAGAACAGACAAAGTGTGTTCAGGGTGAAGGCCAGGAGTTCAGCAACAGTTTAGTCATGTGACTGCAGTTTAACACCAGTCAAAAGCTTTAACACACCAGCATTTTACTGACATTTAGGCAGCTTGGTGAATAAGAAATCAACAGTTTTGGGGAAAAAAAAAGTCACTAAAAACTAAAAATGTATGTTTTTTATATGAAACGGGCCTTTTTCAGTTAACTTCCATCTTTTCTGCAGCAGTGGAAGTAAATGAAGCCTTGACAACTGATACAAGCAATTCCTGGAGGTGTCCCAACAACAACAGATTCTGTCTGTACAAAGGCAGTGTTGGAACAGACTGTTACTACACCCCGGGAAGCATCATTTGGAAAATGAAAGTCAGAGCTTTACAGGGTTTCATCCTGTAGCAGGGCAATGAGCTAAAACACCTCCAGGCTGTGGACAAGGAAAGAACAAGTGATGAAACGGCAGCACGGTGTCCACACTTTCCAGATGAAGAATGAAAGTAATATACAAGTGCAACACATCTGTGGGGACTCCTGCAACAGTGCTGTCTGTCCAAACAACAACACGGCCGTGTTCTGCGGTTGGAACACACTGATAACTGAAAATTGGAGGTGATCTAAAACTTTTGACTGGTAGTGTATGAAGGCTATAGCACACAAAAGGGAAATGACAATGAAAAGGACACAATAACACAGTGTTTATAACAACATCTGGTACCTGGTAGCCTTCAGGATCTGGATACGCCAAGGAAGACCTAAAAGACAAAAGTAAACTTGCTCAGAAAAGTGCTGCCACATCTTCCTTATCAAGAAAAGGAATCATTCAGGGTCAGGGCAGCTTTCACTTTCTGTGCGCCCTCAAACAGAAACAAATAATCTCACTGTATAAATTTCAGAGCTTTGCTTATTTCCTCCTTGCGTTTCAGCCTGGCAGGGTCCATGCTTGTTGACTAAGAGGAAGACAAACAGACCACATGTGGATTAGACTGATGTTATGTTGATGGCGGCTATGACATGATGTTCGCCCACCTCCTTCAAAGGGAGAAAGCAAACAAACAATCACACATTTGTCACATCGTGCAAACACATTCTCTCTGGGCCTGTGTTGAGATTCATAGTAGCCACAAAGGTCCTGCATGCAACCCACTAACCCCCTGCACGCCCAGCTTGGCTATCATGGCGCGACTGGGCCAACTTTAGACACACCTACCCGATGAAGTGAGGAAGTTCATTGAATCGAGCAAAAATGTATAAGCGTGTCGTGATATATCCGAGGTCTGAAAGTACGGAAAACCTTTAGCAGCTGAGAGCCCGTGGTAGCAAACAGCAAAGAGGAAGGAGGCAGGAAACCCACTGAGCTTTGATGTGTAACATTCCAGCCCTCGGTTAAGTTTCGATTCCCAGCAGCCCCAGTTCGCACAGGAGCTAGCTGCGGACCTCTAGACTGGCTCTTTAATGAGGCTGAAGGTTTCCTGCCCTGAGTAGCGTCTCGCAGGCACCACTTCCTGCATTCAAGTCCCACGTCCAGTGTGCTCTTCTGCACATCGATGGATTAATGAACAATCTGTATCTGACATTATGCCAGTGGTGGAGGAAGTAGTGAGATTGCTGATTAGGTACAAGTGCTGCATTTAAAATGTTACTTAAGTAAAATGAGTAGTTATTAACTCATTTTGCAGAATGGGACATTTTATAATTACATTAGTTGTTGGATAGAGCATCAGCTTTCAACAAGGAGATGAGCTAACTATCCATCCATCCATTTTCCTCCGCTTATCAGGGACCGGGTCGCGGGGGCAGCAGTCTAAGCAAAGATGCCCAGACTTCCCTCTCTCCAGACACTTCCTCCGGCTCCTCCCAGCCGAGAGACATAGTCCCTCCAGCATGTCCTGGGTCTTCCCTGGGGCCTCCTCCCGGTGGGACATGCCTGGAACACCTAATTAGGAAGGCGCTCAGGAGGCATCCGAAAGAGATGCCCGAGCATCAACAATTATAATCCATCCGAAAGGATGGATTATAATTGTTGATGCATTTTGTTAGTTACTTATATAGGCCTATTTATAATTTGAAGGTCTCTGGTACAGGTCTCTAGTACTCTGTTTTAAGTACTATATTTTTATCCCTAATTATCTCATTTCAATGAACATTCCTTTGTTGTCTGCATTGTTACTGTCTGTTCATACTGTTTATGATGCATTGTTTGCACTTTCTGTTGCTTGTAAATACTGCTTATTTTGTTACATGACACAGCCTTATGCTGGTCTACTGTTTGCACATTGAGAGCCGATGTACCACAGTCAAATTCCTCATGTGTCCAACACACCTGGCCAGTAAAGCAGATTCTGATTCTGAAGCATTTAGCATACTGCTGGGTAAATTGAGAATTTACCATCAGGGATCAATAAAGTCTTGATTATATGATTATACTGTATTTTGCTGTATTCATCTGATTCTGACAAGTAACTAATGTGATCAAACATATGTGGTGCAGTAAAAAGTACAATGTTTGCCTCTGAAATGTTAAGTCCAAATATGAGGTAGCAGAAAATGGAAATACTCAAGTAAAGTCAAGATTATACTTAAGTATAGTATTTGAGTAAACCACTGTCTAAAGGATACATACACTCAGTGAGCAGCTTATTGCAATACTTCCTCCTTCATGGACGTGATTATTTGCAAAAGTTGATTCAACTGTATGATGATTGTAGAGGCTGTAGTTTGTGTGGCTGTTGAATTGTATTGTATTATACCCACTGATGTTGTTAGGGTGATTTTTTTCACAATGTGTTTCTCTTATTTTGTCCAGCTCATTCAATTCGAACGAGCCTATTGCTTTACAGAAATCCGTGAACGCACCGTTGTAGTCAAGTTGAACTACAAGTCCCGTGGCTCCCGGTTTGTGGTTGTCAAGTGGAATTGTGTTGGTTTGGTTTTGAGCGTCAGGAGCGAGCGGGAGTGTGTAACTGACCTGGGTTCAATCAGCACGACGCTGTTGTGGTAATTGTGCTATTCGTTTCTAAAGGGAGCAGGTTGAGTGACTGATTAGTTTCTGTAATATCGAATGAAAACGCAGGATCAGAATAACTAGCTAGTTAGCGGTTTACTGACGATGGACTAGAGAGGCCGAGTACAAGCACGTTCTGTCTCACGTTACTCATGGTAGCTAACTGGCTGACTGAATCGTCCCATTTATAATCTCAAAATCACCGGAGTGAATTTGCCAAATATTCGGTAGACGTATGTTACGGAACTAACCCGTCAACTGTCGTACAAGCTCCACCGGCATCAAACCATTACGCAAGCTGTTAGGTGTGTTAGCATAACGTCAGTAGCAGTGAGCTAATGCTAAGTGCCGACTGCTCACAAAGGGGAAGCTGGTCTGAGCTTTCCATCAACACGTGATGGTTAATGCCAGAATATTCTTACATTATTCAGTATTTTTGTGTTTAAGTGGCCCCTATTAGCTGGTCATTGTTTGTGTTTAACGTTAATCGACAGTAACTGCTATCTAGGAGTAGAGGAAACCGGTTATGTCACTGGACAGTACTACTTATATAGTACATCTTGTAAAGGGTAAATCTGATCTCTGTGGTCAGAGTCCCACTGGAATTCATGAGGTACTCTATGTGCCCGTCGGTCCTTTGCAGGCACCAGAATTGTTGTGAAGTAAAAGGGAAGGTAAATCATCAGTCTGTCCCTCAGGTGTCCCGATGGCGACAGACATTGTTGCGCAGTTGGCCGACTCTCTGGCCAAGACTGGAGTAGAGGAAGGAGAGCTGAGCTACAAAGACCAGGGAAGAAAGCTGAACGATGCCCAGTCAGGTGAGTGTGTGGAACCCTGCCTATAAACCAGGGGTGTGATTACAATAAAAACAAACAAAAACCTGAAGTCTTGGTTTTAATGGCTTTCCTTCTTATGTCCTAACTGTTTATTTGAATCCCTGTCACATTTCACTCTCCCATCTTTTGAACCTGTAACCTCTTGCTCTCTCCAGTGGAGGACATGGTGAAGGAGATCCAGGACTTTGAGGGTTTGCAGGCTTTGAGGCTAGGGGGGAACACTGTGGGTGTGGAGGCAGCAAAGGCAATCGCCAAGGCCCTGGAGGCAAAGAGCGAGTTCAAGGTAGGAAGTGTTTGCACTACCTATTCATTCTTATTTTGAATCCTGCAGTCAACTTTTTTAAGCTGTTACCGGAAAATATTTGATATTTTTCCTTGATAAATATCAACTGATCTGCTAAATCAAAATACAGTGACAGTGCCATCACAATTTCCTTACGTGCGATTTGATGCCAACTAATAAATTTTGTTTTCCAACCGGCAACTTCAGAACCTAAAGATACCTAATTTACTTTCACACAACATATGAATAGCAACAAATACCAGGGAATGTTTGGCAACTTTGCCTGAAAATATTTCTAATTATTTTCACTAGATTTATTTTTGTTATCCAGCTGTGATATATTGTACTGTAGTAGTGTTTTTGTAGTACTGAATATATTCGAGACTGTATCTTGGCTGCCTTTGACACTTTGTCTTTTATGTAATCCCTGCTTCAGCGCTGTTACTGGAGTGACATGTTCACAGGCCGCCTGCGCTCTGAGATCCCACCAGCCTTGGTAATGCACTTGTTGAAATATTCCACACTTCCCATTTACTGAGTTAGTACATACCTTAGCTGTAACTTAAGCAGCCAAAGCTCAAGTTGTCCTGCCAAGTTATTTTGTCTACTTGTGTTGTAGAATTCACTGGGGGATGCTCTGATGCTGGCCGGTGCCAGGTTGACTGTTTTAGACCTCAGTGATAATGCCTTTGGACCTGATGGGATAAAGGGGATCGAGACGTTGCTGAAAAGCGCCACCTGCTACACACTGCAGGAGCTACGGCTCAACAACTGTGGCATGGGCATTGGAGGGGGCAAGGTACCTCAAGAGTTAGATGAAGTTGTCATTGTTGAAAAAAATTACTTACAAACTGGACAAGAGTACAAATGCATAGATCCCATTAAATATCGCCTCTGCTGATGTTTGGGTGGATGGCATCAGAGCTGAATACATCTGTTTATGGACTCCTCAGATCTTGGCTAACTCGTTGATCCAATGCCATAAACATTCCAGTGCAAATATGGACTCCTCAGATCTTGGCTAACTCATTGATCCAGTGCCATAAACATTCCAGTGCAGCGGGTGCCCCCCTCAGCCTGAAGGTGTTTGTTGCAGGGAGGAACCGCCTGGAGAACGATGGAGCCACTGCCCTCGCTCAGGCCTTCCAGGTACAGGTTGAACTACTGCTTAAGCCTTGAACTCTTTACTTGTTGACTGACAAAGAGATCTAGGAAAACACAGCAGAGTCTGTTCTGATGAAGGACTTGACATCATCATGTACTGTGGGACATTTTACTACAGCGAGCCTTCTTGAAGCATCTTGGATAATTATTGTTAAATACTGATCTCAGGCCAGTTGTTTTCTGTGCAGTCTTGTCTGGCAGTTCATTTTTTTTGACTACTTGACTGGAGTTCTCTGTGTAGGCACCATAATCTTATGACTACAGTTTTTGTTTCCAGCTGATGGGCAGCTTGGAGGAGGTTCACATGCCCCAGAATGGTATCACTCACCCTGGTGTGACGGCTCTGGCCACAGCCATGCAGCACAACACAGGACTCCGCATCCTCAACCTCAATGACAACACCTTTACTGAGAAGGGGGCTATTGCCATGGCTCAGGTACAGCGATGTCACAGATAACTGTGATCTCTTTAACAGGCAGATGAAGCCAGCAGGGTTGATGTTCCATGTCTGGAAAGGGCTTTGGTCTGTCTACCATTTGCTACTGATCTCTGCTGACAGGTTCTGGCATGAGATAAATATTTGGCTTTCTATAGAGAACATCATCCAGTAATTTGTCAGTCGCAATCAGTCTTACTTATAATCCTCTTTGTGTCCTTCACAGGCCCTAAAACACCTCCACAGTATCCAGGTGATAAACTTTGGAGACTGTCTGGTGCGGCCAGCAGGAGCCAAGGCTATTGCAGAAAGTGTAGCAGAGGGACTTCCAATCCTCATGGTGAGTGAGTAGTGCACGTCCCACTGGCCCCAATCAGACCTGTGCTGTCAAGAAGGGTTTTTATGTTTTGTTTGACATTTTCCTCGTTACATTTAACAGGAACTTAACCTGTCATTTGGCGAGATCACGGAGGAAGCTGCTCTGGCTGTGGCACAAGCAGTGAAGGACAAGGACCAGCTGAAGAAACTGGACCTAAACGGTAAAACCTGCAAAGAGCTAATCCTTCACGTGACCTACCTTTTTCATATGAAGACTTAGATTTTTGTTTTAGTATTGTAAAAAAAAAAAAAAAGGAACATTCATGTTTCAGCTGAGGTGCAGTTAGCTGGTATCCTTTTCAAAAGTACAAATGCTCGCTTTAAAACTGCTGGAGGGTCTAGTGAGACTCAAAACAAACTGACACTGTAAGTTTCTCTTTGCCCCTGCATTAATTTCCTGTTTCCTAGCAATGATGTAAATTGCAGATGCCTGTTGTGACAAACTATACAAACTGCAGCCTCCATTCTGAAACTAGCTGGCTAAGAGTAAACATGTCAGACGTGTAGAACACTCTGGTTACTGCGACACAAAGCTCCAGTTCCTCCCTAATTAAAATCACATTAATTCAACACAAAGGTAAAATCCTGACCATGCTAGGTGGCTAATGCTACCAAAACAAACAGGTTAGCTTTAGATGCTAACACATCCAGAAGGAAGAAGGCCACATCTGGATCCAGTCTGAGTCCTCTGGCTGCTTTTAACCCTCTCCATGTCAAACAGCCAAACCCATGTTAACCCTGGTTGTTGCTCTTTCTTTGTCCCACTCTCTCTGTGCTAAAGACGCCACCTCTTCACTCTGACAGCTGCTGGTGGGGGGTGTAGCTGAGAGACACCACGTCCTGTCTCACTGTCACTGGGGTTATCAGACGAAGTCTTACCACTTCTATCAGTGGTTCTAGAGTAATGGATTAAATGTTATCTCTAGTGCTTCTACTTTGTGTTTTGTTTGTAGAGATTTTATTCTGACTGGTCTCTTTGGTTTTCAGGTAACTGTCTGGGTGACGATGGCTGCAAAGCTCTGAAAGACGCCATGGACTGCATGAACATGGCCGACGTTTTAGGATCACTCAGGTAATCTTGTTCTACTACAGTGTCTTTTACTTTGTGTCAACATCAGAACTGGGAGTGTGTTGCACTGTGTAGTTGTGCACTTGAAATATCTGACCAGTTTTGTAACATAGAACTGGTGCAGCCGCCCTCGTCCCAGAACAAGAGCTTCACTAATGAGCTGTGTTTGCCTCAGTGATGATGAAGGTGATCCAGAAGATGATGACGACGATGATGACGACGATGATGATGATGAGGATGATGATGAGGAAGTGGAGGAAGAATTAGAGGAGGAGGAAGAGGAAGAAGAGGAAGAGGAAACCAGTGGCAACCAGGTCATATAAATGGTTTATTACTTGCTGATAGTGTACATGAGTCGAGTCTAGTTTAAATCACACACACACACACATACACACACACACACACATATACAGGTGCATCTCAATAAATTAGAATGTCTTGGTAAACGGGTGCAGTGACTTTGGTTTTCAAAAAAAACACAGTGGACCAACACCAGCAGATGACATTGCACCCCAAACCATCACAGACTGTGGAAACTTAACACTGGACTTCAAACAACTTGGGCTATGAGCTTCTCCCTTCTTCCTCCAGACTCTAGGACCTTGGTTTCCAAATGAAATACAAAACCTGCTCTCGTCTGAAAAGAGGACTTTGGACCACGTCCAGTTCTTCTTCTCCTTAGCCCAGATAAGACACCTCTGACGTCGTCTGTGGTTCAGGAGTGGCTTGATAAGAGGAATACGACAACTGTAGCCAAATTCCCTGACACGGCGGTGTGTGGTGGCCCTTCATGCCTTGACCCCAGCCTCAGTCCATTCCTTGTGAAGTTCACCCAAATTCTTGAATTGATTTTGCTTGACAAGACTCTCAAGGCTGCGGTTCTCTCGGTTGGTTGTGCACCTTTTTCTTCCACACTTTTTCCTACCATTCAACTTTCTGTTAACATGCTTGGATACAGCACTCTGTGAACAGCCAGCTTCTTTGGCAATGAATGTTTGTGGCTTACCCTCCTTGTGAAG